TTATCTCTATAGAGATACCCTTTTAAAACTATGAGTAATATTAAACATCCGATATAAAGTTAAGTTTTAGAAATCTGCTCACTTCTAAAATACTACAAATTTTCGTGTTCGACTGGAATATTTTTGAAGCAATAACCATGTTTTCAAGATATTTCGACATATCCATGCCAATATTATTTGCATTATKGTGTTATTTTCTACAGGTTTCMTWTCTACTAACGATGAACAGATGACGGGAAATTATGGACTTAAAGATCAGAAATTAGCACTACAATGGGTTMARAAGTACATTTCGGCTTTTGGCGGTGATCCCGAACGAGTGACTATTTTCGGTCATAGTGCTGGCGCTGCATCAGTCCATTTACACTTAATGAATAACAATGAAGAGGGTAATTTATGAGGCCATATAGGCGATACCTAGTATTGGAAGCATTGTAATCTCAACACATTTTCAGGTCTATTCAATAACGCTATTATGATGAGTGGCGCCGCAAACTCACCATTCGCTTTGCCATTAAACGATCCTAGAGACCAAGTGGTTCAATTGGCTAAAGCTGCTGGTGTAAGAGAAGCTGAATATCTAAGTTCCGCTGGCCTAGTTCACGCGTTGCGATCGATCAAACCGAAAACCTTGCTGCGAGCTATTGATGATCTTAAAATTTGGCCTGAGCAACCACTTGCAATTTTCCGTCCGAATGTTGAAGATAAGTGCTGGCGTGGTGCATTTTTAACAAACAACCCAAGAGAACCATACGTACCGTTTGGAACGGCCAATAATATATCTTGGATCGTTGGTAATGCACCTGCCAAAGGTGAGGGTTTGGCTATGGCACTTCGATTGACAACCAATAAGAAATTGCGGAAAGAGTTCAATAAAGAGTTTAGCAAAAGATTGAGCATTATGCTGGACTTACCTTTTGTTTGCGACACAGAAGATGTGATAGAATCATTGGTAACCGAGTATATGGATGGTAAACGCGAATTAAAKGATGAAACATTGGATGGCTTTTTGGAGGTAAATAAATAGGAAATATCCATACATATGAAAGTAATTATAATTAAATATTTTTTTCCTTTTTAGCTTTTGGGAGACGCCTATTTTGTATACCCAACTTACAGGCTTTTAAGTTATAATGTCGATTCTAACCGCACTGATTTTAGAGGAATAATAAATTTTGATTATCGCGGACCCTATTCATATTCGAAAATATTTACAAATAGCTTAAAAGATTTTGGCACAGCACACGTTGATGATTCGCTGTTTCTGTTTGAAGGACCACGCGGAGTATCGTATGGTTATTTAAAGAAGTCTCGTGAGGCAGCGTTGGTTAGACGCTATGTGAGGTTATATCAGTCTTTTGCCGAAAATGGGTGAGTGAGTCTAAAAATAAGTGTATGAATTAGTGTTATGTTTCCTTTTCTTCAGTTATTCAGATGAATTTGCTGGCATCGAAGAATGTAATGAAATAAATTTTCCGAATTGTGCATCTTTGTCGATTGCAAAGAAGGAGGAACCATTCGAATCTGGTATACCTTGGAATAATGATCGAATGGCATTTTGGGAAAACCTATATGAAATTTGCCGGCTTTGAATGCATATATATACATATTTTTTATGTTTTGTATATATGTACATATATATACTTTCTTATTGCAATAAAGCCGAAAATAAAGTCATACTAACACTTGACTTAGTTAAATCGGAGTATGTAGGATATTTATTTATTTATTTTGTTCAAGTTCATAGGAGCGAATTATTCGTATTCTAATTTCTCAAATCACTATTTGAAACTGAACTCAAATCACTCATATTTTCATTTCCAAATCAGATGAGTGCTATATTAGCTTCAAGACAGCGGATATGCTTTGTTTCATCTAAATTAATCAAAAAATTGTTGAGTCATTTAACCCCTTGACATTGCTGTTAAAATTCTTAAAAAGTCTCTTCGAGCGAGAGGTAATCTTTCACTGAACCCTGCAAAAATTGTTAGAGTAAACCGAAATACACCATATAGGAAATAACTAGAAATCACTTAGTACCTAATTGACGGCGCAAAGTTTACTTAATTAAGCCCATTTAATTTATGCTTGTAAAAGAGAGACTTGTAGCGAGTTTTAACAATAAGGTAAACCAAAAATGCAGAAGGACCCCGGGGAAAACGTGTTTGGTGGTGGTGCTAGGCTGTTCCTAAATTAACGCATTATTGAAATTAACACCCTGTGGTGTACCAAAATTTACCAAATATTTAAATTGTCCGCCATTTATCATTATATCTAGAATCCAGAATACAGATAACAGTGGAAGAACCCGATAAAATGGTTTCTAAAAAAGTCGTTGTTTGTAATTTCCGCAAGCCTTACATATAATGTACACCCAGAGAAGATAATCTAGAGGCGATAATCATGTGATCTTGATGGCTATTTGACAATATGTCCATGTTTAGAAGTGAGATATGAGGCAGCGCACTGCCTTGTTAGAAATAGAGATCGATCGCGTCGATTGCATAAAATGTCATGGAGAAAAGGTCGGTCATCATCATGTTATAATGCTTGTTATTGATGTTAACGGCATCTGCCGCCTCATTTCAAAAGAAATAGAGTCCGATGATATCGCCATACCACAATCCCCACCAAACCGTAAATTTTTAGGATGCAATTGCTTTTCCGAAATCACACAAGCACTTGTCCAAATAGCGAGAATTGCGTTTGTTTAACGAAACTATTAAAGAGGCCTCTTCTGAGAAGATGTTTTGTGTGAAGAGCTCTTATGACAGCCACAAGAGAATGTGACTTTAAGTAATAATCTTTAGGAATTTCTCAGTGTTATACCTAAGTGAAACGTGACATAATGGAATGGCAAATCTTATTGTCTAAACCAYGTCATCGCTATTGCTGACGCTAGATATGCAATACAAAAATTGATTTTTTGAAAATCAGAAGTTGATAAAATTAAATTATAACAAAAAAAAACGTTAACTTCGGCTGCACCGAAGCTAATATAACCTTTACAGGTGCATTTCTTTTAGTAACTATGTGTTCAGTTTATATGGAAGCTATATGCTATAGTAATCCGATCTGAACAATTTTTTCGGAGATTATATTATTACCTTAAGCAATAATCTATGTAAAATTTTGTGAATTTACCACGTGAAATGCGAAAGTTTTTCGGTTCGGTTTGTATGGCAGCTATATGCTATAGTAAGCTGATCTGCACAATTTCTTCGGAGATTACATTGCTGCCTTAGGAAGTAATCTATACCAAATTTGGTGAATATATCTTATCAAATGCAAAAGTTTTTCATACTAGCACTRGATTCCGATCGTTCAGTTTGCATGACAGCTATATGCTATAGTTAACCAATCTGAAAAATTTCTTCGGAGATTACATTGTTGCCCTAGAAAATATTCTGTGCCAACTTTGCTAAAGATACATTCTCAAATGGGAAAACTTTCCATACAAGAACTTGATTCCGATCGTTCAATTTGTATGGCAGCTATATGTTATAGTGGTCCGATATCGGCAGTTCCGACAAATGACCAGCTTTTTGAAGAGAAAATGACATATGCAAAATTTCAAAACGATATCTTAAAAACTGAGGTATATATACTGAGGTATATAGACAGACAGACGTACATGGCTAAATCGTACATGGCTCAACACACTGATCATTTAGATATATACTTTATAGGGTCTCCGACGCTCCCTTCAGGGTTTTACAAACTTCGTGACAAACTTAATATACCCTGTTCAGGGTATAATAACCTTTAACGTCTTAGGGGTGTGTGCTAGCCTTACTAAACTGATAGGTGGATTCGAGCTTCACGTTTTCATCGAAAATAAGATTATCTGACTGTTACTTAATGCAGTCGTATGTAAATAAATACAATACTGTGCTTGTGACCCATTTATTTATTTGTATTTGTTCGCATGCCCTTATCAACAGCCGGTAGTCAAAAGGTGGGCGGCGTGAATGACGTTCCAATGAAATCGCGAATATGATGTGTTGAATACAATGCTCGCGACAGACTGCAAACGACATCTGTCAAATATTAAAATACACACGTTCTTATTGACGGACCTATTTTGACAGCTGCACGACTACACGACTGCAGGCCRACAGTTGTCGTTCTCGCTAACTTCAATTTAATCCTATATTTGCCAACGACATAGGACGACAGTAGAGTTGACAGTAGAATGGGAGATAGGGAGATGAGGTAGAGTGGTGATGCCACTAATATATAAAATATAAAATTACTCATAGCTCTAACAAACCTGACGTTATTCTACAAATAAAATCATAAAATAGCTCTGTTACATCATTTATAATAACAATTGATAATTTAAAACAAATAAATTTCCMTATTTACTTATATATTGCATAAAAATTTCACTTTGAACAAAATATTAAAATTTCATTGAATTGCAAGGTATTGGTATGGCCACAACGAAATTGTGTATATGCAAAATGGACAACTGCGTTGTTTTGTGTACATGCCGGCCATTGTTATGTTGCTGCCCTCTCACAAACGTTCATGTAGTAGGATTCACAACGCCATTTTCAGTTCRCTGTCGTGCTGCTGCAGTCTGTCGCGAGCATTGTGTTCCGCACATGATTTCTTATTTTTACGCATATATGAATATTTATGTATATTATATTATTAAGTGCGTATGTATGTGTGTATGCTCGAAGTATTTGTGCTTATATTGAACAAAAATGCGACATTGAAAATTTTCAAGCTCACGCGTGCGCGCCTTTGAGTAGATTATGCGTGTAAATATATAAGTATATGTACGTATGCAGATAAATATGTGTGTACGTATGTATGTAGACTTTGAAGGCATCAGGCCTTCGTTCGAGCATTATCTGCAAGCAGGCATTGAAATTTGTATGCCTCAAAAAAGGAAGCCGACAAAATTGCTGTTGCACAAATGCACACACGACTACTAAGCTGTTTAACAACGAGTTGGTGAGCACAGAAGATGCAAAATGAAATAAGTAAAATGCAGTAAAGTTTATTTAAATGTGCAAGCGCTTGTGCAACGATCATTCCGGTTCATTTTCAAGGACATGCCTTGCTGTTGCACGTGCGATGCTCTCAAATTGGTGCAATTTCTGTTTATTTAATCTTATGGCCTCATGCATACATGTATTCATACATAGGYCTGTTTAGTAAGATCTCATCGGTTATATTATGTGTAGGTGCTATTCAAGAATTTCAATCCAATATGAAAGCTAAGAAGGAGCTGAATTTGAGGTGGAGGTGGTAGTGACTTTGGTTGTAACATAGGGCTTTACACCATGTGTAGGTATGTATATGTATTAAAGCGGATCGATTTACAACGGGAGAAAAAACGTAAATTTCCATATGCGCCAAAGGTTCCACTGATATTTTTGAACAACTTTTCCTAAGACGCTACCGATTTTTAARACGGAGTGTTTTWGAGATCATAAAAATTTGTTTGTCAGTTTTTGAGATATCCCAATAAAATTTAATACACAGGTTCTATTGATCGGSAAGATCAGACATTTRCTATATATCACATATCTCATATACRGCYGATTTTSTRGATTTTTAAATTTCGACTTAAAAATCGCTGGCTCAAAAAACMCCCGAAAATTGTAATTAAACTCCCCGGGTAAATGATATATCAAAAAAAAAAATAATTTTGCTAAGTTGGTACGGATAGAACTATMCTTAATTACTATGCCAAATAGGAGCGTGATCTTTCAACCAGTTTCTTTATAGCARATATTTATGTAGATTTATCTAGTAGTGATCAGGACAACCTTCGAAGATTTTGGTGGATATTTTGGATATACAACGCGTCCCGAAAAAGCTGATTTTTGTTTAAAAAGAATACTGTGAACAGGCTTCTTTAGAYATGSTTGATCGTGCGAAGTCCGATACCACATTCATGGAGAGCATTACAATTGCCGATGAGACATCAGTATACGAATTTGACTGCAAAATTGTCAAAAATCATTAGAATGAAGGGAAAAAGTGACAAAAACGCAACGAATACTACCGATCACCTACCGYATTTGGCTTCGTGTAAATTTTTCGTTCCCTAAACTGAAATTGYCCCTCCGTCAAATCCGTTTTAAGTCGGTTGAACAAATTAAACAAAATTCGCTGAAGAAGCTATGGCCTTAAGTGCTTATGAAAAGTGTGTTGACAGTTTAAAAAATGTTGGCATAAATGTATTACATCTGGTGGGTATTACTTTGATGGTGACAAAGTAAATTTTAATGAATAAGCAAATATTTTGCTTTTTATTTACAATATCCGGCTACCTTTTTGTCACAATGTATATACATACCTGTATATACTACAAAGTAAAAGCGTGTACTTCTTAAGATCTACAAGTAGAACCTTTATTTCAATAAAATCTCGTTCACCAAAAGTTCATCTCAAGAAACGTGCTGTAAGGCGTATTTGTCCCCTCTCCAGGAAACATAATGTGGCTGTGCCTCTMATTTTGTCATTTCTATTTAAGAAAAATAATACTAATAATGAGTTCGTATACAAATCAAACCAGACAATAGATGTTTGTGAATGCAGGGGAGCCTGGTGAACCTTATTAATGTTCGCACTGGAATTATAGCCACTTTGCCTACCTAAAAAAAAAAATAAAATAAAATAAAATAAAAAACTTAAACTTCTGTTATACAGAAGCTAGAATACCTACAAGAATTTTATTTTTTCGTTCAGTTTGCCTGACAGCTATATGTTGTAGYGCTTCCATAGCGGACGTGTGCCAAATTTCAAACCGATATCTCAAAAACTGAAGGACGCTGATAATTTATGTTGTGTATATATTTTATAGGGTRYTACGAACTTCATTGTAAACTTAATATACCCTGCTCAGTGTATAATAATCGGAACTCCTACTTACTCAATTAAGTGATATTTTGTCTCATAGAGCTTTAGTTTGGATTACGCTAGTTATATAATTATCGTAATACCCCAGACAGCGACGTTATCGAATTAAGTAGTAGTTAGAGTCCAGCATGCTAACTAATGGTATTACAATAAAAAATGGCAATCCAATTCACCCCCTTCGCATTTCTTCTATTCATATATTTTTTCCCACATAATTATGCGCATTATTCTGAACTCTGTGCATTCCAACTGCGCACCAAARCTGCACATGCGAAGATAAGACATTTCAAACAAAATAATAGCGTATTTGATAGATGCATATATGTGTATGAGAAAAAATAATACATGTACATACATCTTTATGACACACTCAGTTATCAAATATTTTGAATTTAAAGCTTGTAGATTTCTTTAGTGGATATGTTTCTGTCAAATAGAGATCCACATTAGGGTGTGTAATTTTGGCTTGAAAATCGTTTTGACGTTTTCTCTTATTTTAAACGTTTTCTCTTATTTTGATAGACTTTTAGTCAAATTTATTATTTATGATATCTTTCTAGTGTCATCCATCTAGTGGAGAGCTCGCATACTTATAATAAAGATTGAGGTGGCAGATTTATGAGAAACTTTTTTCTGCTATCGTCGTTGGGAAGACGAAATCGTATAGTTATTTTAAACTTTTATGTAATTTTAATATAACCTCGGCCATTATTTGACCTCACGAAATTATGGTTTGAAAAAGAAAAGAAAAAATGCAATAAGTTACATATTACCCTAATGTACATAAATAAGTGTACAAGAACTGAAGCCGCTCGACCTTCGCAAGTGATAACGCTTCGCTGAATAGGCTCTTGCAAAGTTCTAWGAAGATCCGATGTATTCGAGCCAAATTTTGTTCAGCGATGAGACCTATTTTTGGCTCAATATTTATGTAAACAAGCAAAATTGAAGCATTTGGAACGAAGGGAAGCCTGAAAAGATTCAAGCRATGCCATTTCATCCAGAAATAACATTGGTTTGATGTAGTTTGTGRGCCGGTGGAATCATCGGTCCATATTTCTTCAAAAATGATGGCGGTGAGAACATAACCTTCAATGGCGACCGTTACCGTGCCATGATAATCGACTATTTGATGTCTGAAATTGAACRACGTGATCTCGGCGRTATTTGGTTTCAACAAGACGACGGCACTTTCCACACATCTCATCAATAAATGGTTTCATTGAGAGAAAACTTCGGTGAACAGATAATTTCACGTATTGGGCCGGTCGATTGGTCACCAAGATCGTGTGAAAGCATAACGTTCGACTTTTTCCTGTTGGGATATGTGAAGTTTAAAGTATATGCGAATAATCCCGCTTCGATTCAGGCCGTGGAGCAAGACATTACGCGTGTCATTCGCCATTTACCATGGAMMAWCTGAGACGTAGCTGCAGCCAAYATTTGAAAGAGATAATATTCAAAAAATAAATGCCAAAGAATGTTTTTTCGATGGATAATAAACGGTTATCATTAAATTTGAAGTTTCTGTGAGTATGGAGTCTAGAATGTATCACCCTCTTAGATGCTTTGATTTTGGCTTAATACGTCACAAACTTTTGAGTTTGAGTCAGCTGTTAGAAGTTCATAATTAAATTTCCCTCTGTAAGCTGATCCTTTCAATTGGTTTATATTAGTGGCACAACATAGAAGTAGGAWTATAAATTTTGGTTAACCACAACTCGGGATTAATGCCAGAAACACTGAAATTCTACTGATATGACACAATTTTTCTCTGAAGTACTTYTCAGCTATTAAAGCATGACCTAAACAATGTTGCAGACATTTGTTGAATCATAAAAAAATATGAAGTAAATTTTTCTTTTACAAAATTGTTATCTCCACGTTCTCAAAGAAAGAAATTTGTAAAGGCTTTACTATCACACTCCTTGTGCCACAGCGCGGCAGCAAGTACCCACACTTATTGCCCCACTATAGCAACGCATACTTGTCTATATGTGCACAAATGGAGTTAAGCGATAATACGCGCTATGTGTTGCTACTGTCTGTACCCAAAATGCCTACGTACGCCTCATAGCTGACATACATATATCGTTGATCATGATTTTTGACCATGCGCTCCAGTGATAAAAGGCCCCAACGAAGCGTACAACTTTTCAGTAGGCAAATCGTGCCCGAATTAACTAGTGTACTTGTTAGAGCAGTTAATGATAACTCAAACTCGTGCAGCTAGCGAATGCGCAGTGGTTTAAATTTTTCTAATTGATTGCTGAATTGATTTAAGATAACGGTATATTGAAGTTATATTAGAAAGTGTGAAATTTTTTATTTTTTTATTTTTATAATTATTTTAAAAGTGCAATCTATCTATCTTGCTATCGTACACGAATTTGTGATTATGTTTACGCCTTACTTTTGACCAAAATATTGGCAAAATGACTCATGAACAACGTTGACTTTAAAGGCACGTTTATTGATGTGGAGAGGTATGTAATCTTAAACTGTGTTTAGATTTATTTAAAAGTGCATGTAAAATGTGCCTGCTCTTTAGCTTCTTCAATTACGTGAACCCTCGTTTAATACCATCCGATCAAATGTGACGTAGACTGACAAATGCACRTATTTTACGTATTTTAATACAAATCTTCGGCTTCAAAATAGGTTCCTGAGCCGACACAAGTACATATGTCAAAGCTGAATTGAATTTTCCATAGATTTGTTATGAGCTTCGGTTGCGTTCAGTGCTTTCAACGAATTTTGTTTTTTTTTTTTTTCAGTTTCTGCTCATTTTTGGAGCACTATTCACTAGATAGTCGGTTATTTTCGACCTCATATTTTCATTCATAAATCCACATCTCTTCACCAGTAATGATGGGTGTGATGAATGTAGGGTTCTCAGCTACCTTGTGAARCAACTCTACTGCGACATCTACTTGAGATTGGTTTTGCAAAAGATTCAGATCTTTTGGTAGGAGTCTAGTGTTGGAACGTTTCATATTCAAAATATTATCCATAGATCTTCTGCTATCTCTTTGATGCCAACACGACAATTTTTGAACACTGTTTTTTGCAACTTTATCGATATTATCAACAGTAACTGAGGTGGATGATCGACTCGCATGAGGGAAGTTCTCGTTTACGTCTGAATCCTTTATACCAATCAAATACTCGTTTTCTATAAATAATAATGAATATATAATATTTCAATGGAAAAATAATATGGTTAGGAAACTTGTTGTTTAACACTTTTTGCAAGGTAAAAATCGTAAGACAAACTTTCGTTTTGTAAGCAAACACGTGCCACACACTCTAATGAAGAAAAAACATCCATCACAGAAAGAAGTTTTTAGCGATTGGAATTGATGCCCAGTTTAAGTGGACTAGTCTGGGTAAACTATTAGTTTGTCAAAAATGTCTTGCAGTATTTTCGCTGGTTGGCGCTGAGAGCGCGTAGTTCTAGTTTTATTCGTCGCATCGGGTCATGCTATACCTTTTTGGTAAGCTCATTTCACGAGCTAACACGTGTTTTATTGATTGACGTTTCTTTTAAGTCGTTCGTGAGTTATAGTCGCACACATGGAGCAAAATATAGAGAAAATACGGCATATTTTACAGTACTACTACGATAAAGGCAAAACTGCATCTCAAGCCGCCAATAAAATTTGTGCAGTCTATGGACCCGATACAGTTTCCATTTCCACCGCACAACGATGGTTTCAACGTTTTCGCTCTGGTGTAGAGGTGCTCGAAGATGCGCCACGCTCCGGAAGGCCTGTCGTCGAAAATTGCGATAAAATCGCTTAATTGGTCGAAAGAGACCGGCATAGTAGCAGCCGTAGCATCGGTCAAGAGCTGGGCATGAGTCAACAAAAAAATGTTTATGAACAATTGAAAATTCAATAAAAATACCGCAAGAATTTTTTGACAACCTAACATGATCCATATATACCATTCCCTGTTTGCCTTCTGTGTCGAAGCCTAAATAGTTAGATATATTATATATTGGAATGTATAATATATAATTGGATGGTAATATTATATATTATATATCCGTATCAACTTCATTTAATATATTTTAGTTTCGTATACTAGTATAACTATCGTTTACTAGGCCAAATTTTCAACATATTATCAGACTACTTCCATGTACCAGGGTTTTCACACATTTTGTTGAGATTGGACATTTATTGTTATGATATGTTTTAATAATGATAATAATGAACTCTTTCAGATTTTGAGGGTTTAGAAAGCTTGCAATTGTTTTCCTACGGTATAAAAAATTTCACGAAAACTCTCAAGAAAGTACGTTGTAATATCATACGATAATCTAGAGTAAAATGTCTTACTAGGATTTTCAGCTATCTTCAGAATTTAATTGAGTAATTGTCCTCCAAAACTATAGAGTTTCAAATTCAGAGCTGTTGTCTGAAGAGTTTCGCTGAATATTGTAAACTTCTCGTAATTATTATTAATGGCCTAATAATTGCAAGGGGCATTACATAACCTAGAAATAAGTATAATTAAGCGATATCGCTCGCTGAAATCGCAAATGTTCGGTGTTCCAGAGCTCAAATCGTCAATGCTTTCCCGAAAATTACCACTATTTTTGTTTTTCATTCGTGTGAGAACTTTAGGAGTGTAAATTCTGGTTCAAGATCTCCAAAATTAAATGAAAATAGTTTTATAAAGAAAATTATTTAATAAATATATGGTAGATTAACATAATTATTTTTTATACTTGTCATATTAATACATACCTAAATATGTATTTAAGAGTAAATTTGTGCAAAAAACACATTATATTTATAATAATGTAATATGCTATGTTTCTAATCCAGTGTATAATTGTAGGTATGTGCATTACATACGAAATATGAATATAATTATAGCTTTTTCCATACTTATTTACACACCTACATATCTCCATTGTTAATAGTTAAATTGACAACTCGTGTGCAACTTAACTTTAATTGCAAGTACACGTGTCGAACAAAGGTATTTCCATGGGGGAGGGCAATTTAGTTGAGCAAATATTTTAATGCGGAAAATTAGAAAAAACTTGCAGTTATTGATTATTATTCAAGTTTTCGCTTTCTTTTCAACTCAATTACATATATTTATATATATTGTTTTCTTCTTTTTATAGTAGGGGGAAGCATCGAAAGCCGGAGTGCGGAACTTTAATCCRCAARACCTAACCTATTCTCAACTCAAGATTCTACCATAGAACCACCGATTTAGAATTACTTCGTGGGAGGSACAGGACAACTCCTCTATTATGCGAACTGACGCTTCGCTAACMGCTTTCCATTTCTYAACTCACTGACACGTGAGTGGCGTTAATTAATCGATAGTGAAATTACCATATAGTGTGCTTTTCAGTTTTTCCCTTACATTTAAAAAGCGAGGGCAATAAAATAATCCATGTTGAGAGTCCCTTATTTACTCTGTACATGTCTGACACCCATGTCCACTAATTATTTGGGTCAGCAGAGTCGGTTTATACAGTCTGGAAAGCATTTATTACACAAATTACAGAAAACCAATGCACTGCAACTCATTGCTTTTTCTATTAAAAACCCCAGCTAGAACGCACGCAGCCTCTATTGGCCATTCTCGATAGAGCATTATAAATTTTGTTTGCTTTACCGGAAGTATAGGCAAGGTGTTCCTTAAATTTTAATTCGGAGTCCAATATTACTCCCAATACTTCAGCTGCGACTGTGAGGCAATATCGTATTCCSCTATGGTAAGCTCTATTCGTTTTACCACCAAGAGCTCGTCCGCAAATGCACGTCTTCTGGTTRCTGTCTTCTTAGCACCCCATCATAAATGAGGTTCAATAATAGTGGRCCTAATTCTTCGTCTGTATCATAAATAAGTCTTCTATTTTTAAAATAACTCGTTATAGTGCTTAAGAGGTATTTTTTCATCCAGGGCTTTGATTAAGTGTGCCGTGTGCCAATTGGCCGTGTTGAACGGCATCTTGGCATCCGGTGATAATTAGGGCGCAGTACTCATTCATGCCGTCTTTCCATCTCTTGCYACTTACTGCACATTTTGCAATATCGAGGACTTGTCGTAGGGCGAGTGGATCTCTTTTTTATAAGGCCGAATTATCTCTCCGAAAATAAGCCGGCTTCCAGGAATGCTGACTCCTAGSGGTTTCGTATTATATTTTCGTACACTTTTCCCATTGTGTCGAGCTTACACAGATTACGGTACGATGCACGATCTTCAAATTCAAAATTATGACAAAGATCTTTATATGACCATTTATGATATAAGAAATGCACCATTTGAGCCTACTATAGATTCGGTGCAGCCGAAGTTATTGGTTGTTTTTGTTTTATCTAACAACTATGCCAAAAATTGGTGACAATCGCACAATCAATGATCCTCAACTTTGCGCGGAGTCTCTCCCAAAAACTTGTAAAATAATACACGCGCCGACATCCGAATACCTTATTATTATAACATATCACCACTGTTTGAATTAGTAATTCTTATTGTATTTCCGCAATAAATTGCCGTAATAAAAATAATTAATAATGTTTCTCAGTAGGCATTGCAATTGAAACTTGATCGAGTCTGTCGCACAGTGTTCTCAATTTGTAAAGCTGACGTTAAAAACTTTTTTGTTGCCAAGTTTACAGCACTATGTATTGATGAAGAATTTGAGACAATGTTGAAAACACATACATATACGTAATTCTGAAAAATGGTTTAAACCAAATGTCGCAGGGATCACGAGCTTCAGTTTCAGACATCAAATAGTCGGTTATCATGGCGCGATAACGGTCGCCATTGACGGTTACGTTCTCACCGGCATCATATGCATGTCGTTTGGGAAGGACAAGTTCTTGCACAACCTGTATTTTGTACGCTTTCAATTAAATTCCTTCCATACGTCAGTCCGAATCGGCTCTCCACCATTTTTGAGCAAACGAAGCAGAGGTGACCACTGTTCAAAGAAAGTGAGGCGCTTCATGTAAGCGGGTGTGAATAATGTATGACTATGAATTAGGAAGAAGCCTATGCCAAAGCATGAAAGTACCTTGCCTGAGCGCTTAATACGAGTAGGGAAAATAAATAATTATATATGTAGATTTAATGCAGCATTACCTCATAAATCTAACTAATTCGCTTTAAAGTGTAATTTTATCGCTTGATTATTATAAACAGTTATTTGTTTGTAATACAAATTACATTAATGCTGCATGTCGGCCCGTGGAGCGCTTACAATTATTAAAAAAAAATTCTAATAAATCCTGGAAAACTACTTCACCGACAACACTTCATACATACTTATACATACTAGTACTTGTATATATAGTATATTTTATTAGAACCTATTGTATAATATACGTACATACACTCATATTCAGTATTCGGCCAATTGCTGAAGAGACTATTCATTGTTCTCGCCGGTATTGTCGGTATATTTAATATTTATTATTTCTCTATTGGTCTCACTACTGTTGGCGGCAACTAAAAATTCAGCCAAATCGGCGAGCTCTTAAATCAGAAGTGTTTGGTTAGCCAGAGCAGACGGTTGCCCTATAAGAGCTTCATGTGTAAAGTTATTAAGTACGATTGGAGTTAAATCGGTATGAAGGATAACAATATATTTATATGTAAAAAAAATAAAAGCTAAAAGCAAGTGCAAACTGTGCTCCGTGTACTTTTACTAAAAAATTGTTGAAACTAGAAGATGGTGCAACAAATTTAATTTATACATTAAATAGTGACTAGTAAGTTACAGTTATTAAATTTTGCATTATGTGAAAACATATTTTAATGATTCTAAAATTATTTTAAGAAATAATTATATAAGAATTATTAATACCGGACGGGGGAAGTAGCTCGGCATTCAATGCCAACTCTCGGTATATATTTATTTATATTTCCTATATGAAAAAGCCATTCAACTTACGAAGTTCATCATACTGCTGGATAACATTGAGGTGCCCACTTAGGGAGCAGCAAAGAAAATCGGTTTCCTTCGAATACATTCTTATTACCGAAGCCTTTTGTGTGGCTCCTTCTTTTTTTCCTTAGAAGAGAAGTTATTGAGCAAACTAACTTAACTTTTACTGACGTTGGATTGAGGACTAAGTAAACAAGAAAAGAAGAGAAAACTGTTATCTGTTTTGGGTAATTTTGTGGCTTAAAGGGTTACATGGGTTTGACCCCCTTTTTTCAACAAATTTTTTCTAATATAAAAATTGAAATATAGTATTTTATTAGATTTTTTTATTGTTACAAACATATCCTACTAACAAAGAAATTGTGAAATTTTTGGAAAAAAATATTTTGGCAGGATAACTCTTTACAGAATAATTAAGAGTGAAAAAAAATTTCATAAAGACTGGACTTAAAAGTACAGATTCGAGAAAAACGCGTTTAACGACGGTGCACTTAGCACAGCTAACCTTGAGCGCACAAGTTCTCAAGGCTRTATCTAACTTCTAGAAGAGCAAAAAATAGTAAGACTTTGTTAAAATTTTTAATTTATTCTTCTAAATCTATGTCGTCGCTCTAATACACTTGTACCAACGTTTTTCCCAATCCTCGAAACAGTTGTTAAAGTACATTACCGGAATAGACTGCGATGCGCGTAGAGATTCACTTGCAATGTGTTCAATTTACTTAAAACGCCTTCTTCGGAGTGGTCGTTTGTGTTTAGTGAATAGCCAGAAGTCACACAAAGCTAAATCAAGYGAATACGGTGGTTACGGCACRATATTGGTTGAAAATGTGGCGCAAAACTTAAGAAGAATCAATGCAGTATRCGTCGGTGTATTATCGTGRTGCAAAAACCAATAGTTATCCGCCCATAAATATCTAGCTGAAATGTGAGTGCCAATTGAAAAAAAAGCCTAATTTTAGTTAAACATATTTCATTCATTCATATCCATATTTATGAATGAGTTTCGTAAATGGATATTTTTCATAAACACCTGTCCACAAATCGTTCCGAGTGCACACTAATCAATGACGGAAATTTCCAAGTATATCGAGCTACAAATACAGTGAAGAATATTTTGATATAGTATGCTAATAATAAACACTAAGGAAAGGCAAAGTTCGACTGTAATGGAACAGTTTGTATTATCGCAATTTGCAAGGATCAAAGCTGAGGATAAAGGCAAAAGTTATAATCTCATTTTTACAATATTTAGAATTATAGAGGTTGTATACCTTGAAGGGCATTCACAAAGTCTAAGGAGGTTCCAAAAGTATTCGTTGTCAGCAAGTTTGGTTGATAGGTTTAAGAAGATTGTGACTTGAAGCTATTAGGGACGGATGGACGGACAGACAGACACTCACCCGGATTTCAACTCGTCTCGTTAGTCATCCTGATCATTTATAAATACAGACATGCATAACCCCACATCTAACTCGGATAGTTTTAGGAGATACGTACAACCGTTAGGTGAATAAAACTATTATACCCTGTAGCCACAGGTTGCAAGAGCATAAAAATTGAAACTGGCACGCAGCGTATTTGCTAATTTCTCAAAAATGTGGGAGGATTTTTAARTATAAACGTTTTATGTATATTTCAAAGTATTTCCGCTTATCTGGCGTAGAAAACGATCAACTATTTTCAGATCTAAATATTGAAATAGCTCTGCGTAAGCAAATAATATGCGAAAAAAGAAACTATTTGTAGAATGTAAACACATAAAAATATATGTTGCCTAAAAAATATAAGAATCATGAATGACTTTTTATAAAATACAATTTGGATCAGTAAGAGATTTCTCTATAAAAATGATAAATGCGCAAACTATTTTGAAATCATTAAAATTAAAAGCCTTTGGCTTTACTGAATTGAATGAATCGTACATTTTTCTTACAGCTTAGCCAAAGTGACTTGCGACATATTTTACGTCAAGAGAGCTCTTGAGGCAACAAAGAGACAAAAACAATACMATTCGGTCTAGACAAACTTGCAGACGCGAAGTGCGCCTGAGGTTCAGACGTTTCAACAACAAAAACCAAAAAAAAATCACTAAAAAAAAAAAAAAAAAAAAAACCTCATGACTGCTTTGTTAGCAAGAACAGTGGTGACACTATCACCGAACAGCACGCTCTTGCCCACTATACCTCGTCCATCGAAATTATGGCAGATAATCTTTACGATCTCCACATTGACAGCAATTATATGTAGTCAAACCACCGAAGCAGAGTTGTTTATGCAGCATTCGGCTTCGCCAAAAGTTTGCCTTTACGAAATGGGTTGCTTGCAGGGCAGGCTTATGCCTGGTTTAGGTGCGCACAATTTCGAGGCATTTCTGGGCATACCGTACGCTTTACCGCCAGTGGGTGAGCGGCGCTTTGCGGTGCGTAAAATGTTTMAATTTATTGTAGATTAATTTAATGGCGTTACTTGACTTTTGCAGATTCCCAAATCATTTCCACGGTGGTGGGGTATGTTGGACGCGACCGCACCGAAGCAGAATTGTGTGCAAAAGAATTACATACTACCAAATCCGGTAGTGGAAGGCGTCGAAGATTGCCTTTACTTRAATATCTACAGACCAATAGTAAGTGAGTACGCCCGAGAATGTGGGAATTTCCAARTTGCGCTGATATTCCATAACAAGACCCTGTTATATAAATATATAAATTTAGAAACATTGTTGATGAATTGTTTCAAGAACAGGAGGGGGATTAGAGAAATTGAACCTTGAATTTGAAATACAATATATTCCATAAAATTAAATGTCTTCCCGATAGATAGACGCCAAACATTTACTGCCGGTTATGGTTTATATACATGGTGGCGGCTGGTTTAGTGGCAGTGCCAGTCCACTATTACATGGTCCCGAATATATTATGGAAACCAAAGAGGTCATCTTGGTATCCATCGCTTATAGATTAGGACCATTTGGTGAGTATGAAGCTTTCTTACTTACTAATACTAGAACTTTCATTTTAATTATTGAATAATGCTGCTGGATTTTTCTTACTTTAGGTTTTCTCTCAACCGACGATGCTAATATGCCCGGCAATCTGGGTCTTAAGGATCAAAATTTGGCGCTGCGTTGGATTAAACTCAATATTGGCGCTTTTGGTGGCGATCCGGAAAAAGTAACCATATTTGGACAAAGCGCTGGTGCCATTTCCGTGCACCTACATATGCTGAGTCGTCAATCCGAAGGT